GGGATCGACATGCCCGGTTAGGTCGCGGGGTCGAGAGGGCAACGCCCATCGTGGGGGTTCGGGGGCAACGCCCTTTACGAGGATCGACCTGCCCAGTCAGGTCGCGGGGTCGAGGGGGCAGTGCCCCCGAAATGAATTCTAATTTTCGTGTATGTGTTGAAGAGTTTATCTGTTGAAAATATTTTTTTTTAGCAAATACCAAAGACGATGAAAATAGGAAAAAAATAATATTTTTAATGGCTTTGTTTAAAAAAAAAAAAAAAAACTGCTCCGCACATTAATGAGCAATGCTTCGTGCTGTGCGGAGCACTATTCAGAGGTTTTCTTTTTTTTTTTTCGCAAACTAACAATTTGTTTTTAAACCAAACCAATTCTAGTATGTAACATAGCATAAATAACCGTGCCCGTTCCATCCCTTTTCTGAACGTAGTGAATCAAAATCATGCTAAATAAGAGAAAGTCTCTTACTCCTCCAAAGCTTTATCTTACATCCACTAAATCTTCACCACTTACACGGGAAAATGTTCAAATTGCATTTCCAACAACTAATTACCCAAAAGTCAATAGACCCAAAACCTCAATATAGTCGAACACTCATCAAATCAGCCAAAAATCGATATCCCCGAAATTTCAACGCAGTATATTATTTAAAACTCAAAACATGGTAAACATACATAATATATCAACGATTGTAAACGTTTTGTACACATAAAATATGAGAACTGAGTGAGAATTGAACCTTACTCGAGGAACTTCACGACGCCACTGAGAGAGAAAAGTGAGAGACAAGAATGAATTGAAAGATATTTCTTAGACGAGATATGTAGAAGATATTTATATAATTTCAACTGCAATAGTCAACAAAGATGGCTACGTACTATAACAAATTCGGATTGGAAACAGGGAAGTGTGAAAACTTGTACGACAAAAATGAACAGTGAATGAGGGATTGCCTATTTTAAGAGAAAGGAGGGATACGTAAAAATCATAAATGATACCTGAACGTTTAATTGTATTTTTCTTAATCCATACTCAAAAACTTTTAGATATATATATCTAATTCATACTTAATTTAATAGTTCACTCTAGCATTTCAATTTTACATGACAATTGGCAGTGTTAACCCACTTTGGCAACATAAGAAATCATATTATATGTTGACCTCAAAATTGGACGAAAACATATGGCCTCATATCCCGACTCCACTTTCGTCCATGTGTTATGTTAAAGCGTTATATGCACGTGACCTTTTTCAACAATCGGAAAGGCGATTGCAGACACTTTGACACTAAAGTCATTCAACGATCAAAAAATAATTACGGGTGTTGAAGAGACGTTGAACAAGAGCAAAATGTATAGATCTTGGTTGAAGAGAAAATACTAAAAAACTCTTAGCGTCAAAGTGTAATAGAAGATACTAAGTATGAACTTTTATAATGAAGGAAAATGGGGGGTATTTGTTGGATGCGTGACACTTACGAATCAAACCTGATGGACATCATATCCAGATCTCCTGAGGTGATTTTAAAGTGATCATCCTATGTCTTAGGCCTGTCACTCAAAAAATGACTGAAAGTGCTAGCTAAATAATTGTCAAATCTATTTGACGTACGAAATATATTCTTACAAAATATCTTTGGGTCGAAGCGGTATAATAGAAGATGCCTTATGATGCAAAAGCTTATTGTTTTGAAAATACAATACATCAACTTGTGGTACCTCGCTTCAGACATGGAGGTTCGACCTCTATCTTATCGCTTTCTCTGAGGTTCCTAAATCATTTCGACCCTTACTCTTAATCACACTGGCTAGGATTAGGAAGACGGAGTGAAGTAGAGTACATGTTTTGAGTGACTTTTTGCTATTTTTTAACTGATTGTAACGTGATCTTTTTCGTTTGATGATATGTAACACTATAACAATTCGATTTGATGGAATGATCCACCCCACCCAAGAGCACTTATATTAAAGGGGAATTCATGGCTGGAAACAACCCTTATGG